TCAATTCAGAAGAAACTCCTAATGAAGTTAGCGGTCTGCTATATGTACCATTGATTCTTGGCTGGGTATTCAGAGAGGACTGCAGGGGACACAAACTTTCAAAGGAAATTCCTGGAAGCCAAAGTCTTACCTTGAAATTGTAATTTGTAGGCCTAGTTAGCCTACGACATTTCTTCATTTAAAACCTATTGTCTATGGATAAAAAATGACCGATCTACCGGTCGTGTATCTAATTATAACATTGGAACGCAAATGTTTTGACTAAACATAATAACTACATAACAAAAATTAATGCTGATTCCAGGTAGTCATCTTTTAATAGTTTGTTGACGGGTTTAGAAGCGAGCATCATATAGTAGCTGTATTTTCGTAATGTGTAAATTGCCCTAAATAAATTACTGGCCTTCCAGCATTATGTCTCCTATCAATTCTATTTCGACAGAAATCACCACAACTGCCGCGCCACAGTTTTGCAAATATCTGTTGCACCTGACACATATTAGGAAATCTGTGCATATTAAACCATTTCGTTAACCGAAAGACAACCTGCCCCGAGTATTTTAGCGCAACTCAAAAATTTAGCACAATTGCGATGCCTGAAATCATACTTGAAAATTGCTATTCGCATGGGGAATAGGAACACTGCTTGTATATTTGAATTTTTTCTTAAATTTCATTCATCCTGCTAACCTGAGATTTTACTCTCAAAGAAACTACAACAAATCTCATTTCTTTCATGGTCATTGGTCGTATACATTCGAAGTTTGAGTCTTCGATTGGCTAGATTGGCCAGCATAAAGTAACCAATTTGCCCTCAATTTTACGGTGTCAATATAATTTTGGATAACTTTAATGGCATGGAGTGCAGAAACCTTTATCAGGTGCCAGTCACGTGCGACGCCCAATGTTTCGAAGTGTTAGCAGAATGCATCGTTACCGAGCGATTATTTGGCTCGACAATAACTATTCTATTGAACTGCGGCAATTTTCTGTAGAGTGAGGTTTACTTAAATCCAATTCAAAGAGCGTCACCCCGAGAAAAGGATGCATTCAAGATGTAGCTCACGCAAGTCGTTTATTTTTATGCCTCTTGAGAAAGTTATTCCAGAACCAACGAAAAGTTTCAAAGTCATTCCTTGACTCAGCTCGCTACACTGAACTTCTTATACGTTCTGAGATAAGGAAGCGCGAGACTTCAGCACAAATAAACCTCTAATTAAACTTTCTCTAAGGAAACTTCGGCAATTTAAGAGTGTTGAGAAAAATTCATAAACAGTCGACGCGATATGAGGGGATAGACCACCCGACCCTCGCCATTTGAGGGCAAACTTCTCGTAAAAAAACTCTGACTTACAGTAACTCATTTTACTTTCTGACACCCTCGCTAGTTGAAATAGAGAATATTCTAACTAAATATTTTCTAACTGAAATTTTTCTAAATAATGAACAAAAATTTATCACCTGCATCATTTAGAATTAATTTTGATCCAAGTTTCCGCAGAGCTTCGACGGACTCCTATAAACAAACCTCCCCATGCTCGACAGTTCGTGGCTGAAGTTTCTTATCGCCAGCAAGTCCTAATCCGAGTTTGTGCGCCACGATATCTCGGAGCAGTGATCTAAACTTTTAATTACCGCATTATATTCTTTGCGAGCTAACCGCAAGAAGTGGAGGCCTCGGCGAGTCAGCCATTGTGTGAGCGGGACGTCGGCGGTGCTAATAAGACTCTTCCACTGCGCTCTTGGTCATAGAACCATTTTTGCGGGACGCCACGAGAAAACCTCGGAATTTACGTCATCCAATTAAGAGCCAAAGAAAAAATATACATCACAAGCACCAATATAAACCTTGATTTATAGTGCACACTATTACCCTTCTTGTAGAAGTAGCTAGATAAATAACAGTAACGGGAATGATTTTATCGGTAACGGGCGCAATTGAGTTCCTAATAAAAAATATATTTCATCCGTGATGTGCTGATGAGAAATTCTTAGTTATATCTGAACATTAATCGTCTAACCCATTAGCGAGCAAAACAATATATTCTGTACTGTATTTAACGTAACTCCTATTGTAAAACAAATAATACAATTTGTCAACTAATAAATAATCTAATATAAATCTGCCACACACTCGCTCAAATTAAATATAATAAAAAAATGGCAGAATTGAAAAAGTGTAAGGTACCTTCACAGCTGGCCTTGCAAAATATTATTAAATGATTCCAATTCATACCAAGTTTGAAAAAACAGCGGAAAACAGGAACTTAGTGAGTGATACATACTGAATAAGTAACGTTAGACACCACTACTAATAAAAATTTACTCTAATCGAAACCAAATCTGTAGTGATGTGAAAAATTGTCGTTATTGTGAGAATTAATTATACCGACTTTTAAAATATTTAGGATTTTTATTATTCCTGACGAGTATTTCTCAGAGGATGTTCACTGTTGGGTCGCACTTCACAACGGACGGCCATTCACAACGATCGTCACGAAACAAAAGAACATCTCAAGGAGATCGTAAAGCGATCATTGCCTCGAGAATTTGTAGCTGAACTTGTCTGTTTTCAAAGACCTGAGTGTAGTTTTCATCGGCCTCATCAAACTTGAGTACCTCGAAGCGCTTCCAACTACCTACTTTCACAGGGAATTTTCTTTTAAACATCTGTAATTGAGGGTGCTCATGAGATGTGTCTGAATAACTGGCAAAAACTTGGACCGAAAAAGACAGAATTATGGGCAGTACGGCGAGTAGAACTCTTCAGTTTAGTACTAATTTGATAATGCCAAGATTTTTACTGCAATTGTACTCTGGTTAATTACGATGGAATTCACGCTTACTAATTGCAGTAAATTTTATTCGCCCTCCTGTTACTCATCCCCCCTCGTTTTACTCAAGAGCCCTCGTGTGTCTCAACCGACCTCGTTTTACTCAACAGTAATAAGTTTTTACTCAACCGCCTTCGTTATTTCTACTACCCAACAACATTTCATTCAATGCCTAGTGGTCAATTAATACATTTTCATTCATCGTGGAGATCTGAAGCAAAGACTGTAAATTGTTATCACCACAGCAAGAGCGGAAAAAACTGTCTAAGTACGAATACATGTTTGTTGAAAATAGGACGAAGATGTCAAATAGTTAACAAGTGGCAATTTCATGACCTACCAACAAAGCCCTGACGTTAAAAAATAGTCCACCTTTTCTAAGAATCACGGGAATGCCAACGATCTGGGCAGCAGTAGTGCTGAATTTAAATTCGGTGCTCAGTCTAAATTTCTGTGAAATCACATCGCTCGGACCCTCGAGTTCCTCGAAGCAAATGTAAACGCGTGTGTGTTAATGTCAGAGCGCTCCCAGGACAATGCTACACAAAGCTTTCTCTGTCAGTCCAATTTGTTGGCTGTCTTCTTCTTACGAGTCATTCAATTGAATTCAAAGCGTCGCAAAGCTCCCGTTCTCATTTCAAAAAGCTTAAGAGTGTGATCTTCAATCAGTATTAAGAGCAAGCGGGCGTTAAAGTGAAGGGGAAAAATAAGCTCAGTTTCTGGAGTGAGCAGCTCTGCCTCTGAGAGAAAAGACTATAATGTCGCTCATCTAAATGTTAAATAAGAATCAAAAAGAATGTAACCAACAGACTTCCAATTATTCGGTGAAAGCTCTACAAATCCGAGCTCATGAACCATGTGCCTTTGATATGCTAGTTAACTTACCCAAGAAAATCAAATTCATAATTTCCAACATTCATGACCAATATTTGCAGCGTTTCACCATAACAGATTCTCATCATAACATCCAACATCTGAATGCGCCATCTCTCACCAGCTGAAAGAAAAACTTTAATTTAATTTTGATTGAATAATATTGGGGCACGCAAATATGCTCCTATTGCAATTTTTATGATGTACAAAAGTTTTTACAAAATTTTACTTCATATTCTCAAGAATTTTACGGCGAACAATCATAGAAATTGTTTTATTAATGCATAGCTGGCAACGCTTCACATTCCATCGAGATTAAATGGCGCGCAATTTATGGTGGCTTGTTTGCAGACGTTCGAGGAGCAGAAGATTTTTGCGGATGAAACTCATCCACTTAACCCGCACAAATGCCGCGATTGAGTCCAGCATGAAGTGGATGGGGCCTGTCCATGCATATATTTCACAGATTGGCTGGCCCATTCACAGAACGCAGTAGCCACGACGCATTTAAAGTATTCATTTGAGTAATGCAATACTCGGCTAAGTGGAACATTTACATGCACCAGCACCGGATGATATCACTACGTATTTTGGCTCTAAGATCTCACATCATCACTTACGAGGGAGCCGTCGCCCAAAACAAGCTGTTTGGTATTCTGCCTACGACTCCCAGCACTAACTCAAATGAACTACGGCACAATTCCATAATTTCACTTCGTAAACAACCACGAGAAACTGCTTTTTCGTTTCTTTGGCGCGAACGCGACCCTCCAGAGTACAAATCAAAAACTGAGTATCAAATAATATAGAACAGTGCTATCCTTCGTGTCGGTAAAACGTTAATTTAGCAGCCCGAAAATGAAACTGCAAACACTTGCAAATAAAGGAGAATGAGAAAAATTTATCGATTCACTGAGTAGTATTACCCTGCACATGAATCACTACACAAACTAGCTTATGCCTCTGATATTCTTAAAACGAGGACTAGAGTTATTCTTTTATCGGCTTCAAACAATGATCTCCCAAAAGTTATTCGACAGGAGAAAAATTGCTCATTTGCATTTGCAACTGAAATATTTCATATATCCTTAACATACGGAGAGGATTGGTATACTTAGTCAGAATTTGTTCCTTAACGCGGGTCATCAAAAAACCAAACGTTGAAAACCTAGGTACAAAAACAGCTTTAATTCCGACAGCGGTACTAATATTTCTGACTGAATTTTGAAAATTGATCAATAATTCATGATATTTTTATTTAAATTGTATCGAAATAATCAATTAAAATAAATATTTATAAAAAAAAATTAGAAATTCAATATCAACTTTAAATTTTACTCAAGAACATCATGTAAAACCCGCGTAACTGGGCACAACTATTTTCGGTTGGGCGTTAGCATTTTACTGCTAATGAATATCAATAGACAGAAATAGAATCATTGACCATTCATTGAAAATACCGCCTCTATGCATATCTAATTCACGCAAAATTTTATTGGTACAAATAAACTAGACTTAGCATACAAAAATTCTACCAAAAAATAAACTTCCGAAGCGAACCGGTCACTCCTTTGACACTGTCGACTCCTTTGCCTGCTCTTGTATCTTGGCAGACTCTAACGAAGACGTGAGCGATGCCACAGCCGGTTCAGCGGCCGGACTTTTTAAGGCCACGTCAATCTTTTCGTCGGTCTCGACAGATTCATTGGACGCCAGAGGGTAAGGAGCATCTTCATCTTTAGAGACATTGACGTTATTCTGAGACTCGGTCTGGGAAGTAAGTGGATTTGGCGGCTGCACATCGCTAGCATGCTGGAGGCCCACACCGTCCGTGATTGAATTAGGTTCTCTCTGAAGGCCGCTTTCAGGAACTGAAGAAGATGCTTTGACAGCTTGGATTTCTGCGTCAGCTTTTAGCATCGAAGAGGACTCAACGTCCGACTTTTGTTCAGCCTGGGAGTCGCTGGGAGGCGTAACCGCTTCAGGAACTCGAGGCTGGAGAAGACGAGTAGCGATCTCGTGAAGCTTTTCAATGAAGCGCTTCTCGTCACTTAGGGAGGAGCGGGTCCATGCCAACGGAAAGTGAGTTGGAACTGGTTCGCGATCTGGAAATAAGAGGAATAGTCATGAATTAAAAATATTTCGCAATAAACTTTTTCAAATAATTTTTCCTTGATAGCAAAGAAAACGTTTCGGAGTCTAGTTTCATCGTCAGTTAATTTTAGTAAAGGGAACATTAGAAATTCACTGATCTCTTTCCGGTAAAACGTTAAATTTTCACTTCTTCCTTTACCTCGGTTTACTGGATTGTCGAACTGACGATGAAGCTGAACTTCGAATAATTTTCTTTAATGAAACTATGTTGACTTTTTCTGTCATATTATTTATCTAAATTCCTGGAAACTGATCAAAAATACGTATAACAAATGAATAGCATGGTAGAAGAGACCGCTGGGATGCGGTTGGGTAGTACCTTGGAAGAAGAGGCCGCAATGATGCGACCAGATACAGTAGATACCTTGGAAGATGAGACCGCTGGGATGCGACTATAGATAGATACCTTGGAAGAAGAGACCGCTGGGATGCGACTAGATAGATACCTTGGAAGAAGATACCGCGGGGATGCGACTAGATAGATACCTTGGAAGAAGATACCGCGGGGATGCGACTAGATAGATGCCTTGTAAGAATAGACCGTTGGGATTCGACTAGATAGATACGTTGGAAGAAGAGACCGCTAGGATGCGACTAGATAGATACCTTGTAAGAATAGACCGTTGGGATTCGACTAGATAGATACGTTGGAAGAAGAGACCGCTAGGATGCGACCAGATAGATACGTTGGAAGAAGAGACCGCTAGGATGCGACTAGATAGATTCCTTGGAGGAATAGACCGTTGGGATTCGACTAGATAGATAGATACCTTGTAAGAAAAGACCACATGGATGCGACTAGATAGATACGTTGGAAGAAGAGACCGCTAGGATGCGACTAGATAGATACCTTGGGAGAGACCGCTAGGATGCGACTAGATAGATACCTTGGGAGAGACCGCTAGGATGCGACTAGATATAGATACCTTGGAAGAAGAGACCGCTGGGATGCGACTAAATAGATACCTTGGGAGAGACCGCTAGGACGCGACTAGATATAGATACCTTGGAAGAAGAGACCGCTGGGATGCTCAGACGCCTTCTTGGACGCAGCAAGCCAGACGATGGTGTCAGCGCCCTGGTCGACTGAGCGTAACTTTTCTTTATTCTGCTCAATTTACACAATAACTATAGCACAGGTATATTAAAAGGAGGAGATATAAAACATGATGAACCAGGAGCTCGCAATACAAATCGGTGGTTTATTTGTGAATGGAAATAATTATCTCCTTTATTTAAGTATTGAAACCACATTAAAAATTTGTGGCTTAAGTTCAAACTGAAAAATTAATTTTTAATTCAACGAACTGGAGTAGCTATGACCACTCCTCCGATAAACTAGAATAAATCATTAAGGCTTTGAACAACGAGCAGAAAATATTCGATTATTTAATTTCTGTTTCACCGAACACAATCGAGAAATTAGTTAAATATGGACGTGCCAAGAAATATTTTCCAGACTTCTTTGTAGTTTTGTGAAAGCCTAAGGATGTAAAATTTCCAAGTAATATTTATATTTCATGGACAAAACGCGCGAGGTTTCCTGAAACACTATCTTATTTCAGTTTTTAAGAAAGCCCGGGAAGGGCAAATTGATTCACGCAGATAGCAAGCCATGTTAACCTAAATGTTATTAGCCCACCAATCTCCCGTACAAACGAGCCTAAATGTCACAGATCGTGAAACTTCTTCCATTTGAGGAAGCCAGAACATGAAAAGTTTTTGATAAACTAGCAGGGGTTCCTGAACATAACCAGCTAATACATTTGGATGCCGTTTCGGCGGCACTCAAAGCAGCCGGCCGAAGAACTACCTCAGGTTCCGTGCGCTCGGTCAGGAAACAATGCAAATTTATGAGGCAGTCCCGGACGAGAACAATGCAAGTCACAGAAGGGAACATAAAGCGTAGCAATAGGCCCGGAGTTAACAAGCAAGTCGTATTTGCTCTACAAAGCAATTCACAAAAGGGGATTCGGGAGCCTAGGAAGGGAGCAGTGGCATAACAGATCACGGAGCGTTGCTAGACGTATCCAGTCATAAGTGCATTGTGCTGTCGCTGAATAAGCCTATCTAATAATCAAATACATAAATTAGCAGTAAACAGTTAAAAAATTGGGCCCAAAATTTTATTACTCGGCGGTATTATCTATGAACAAATGAGTTGTTGAACGTATGAGAGCGCGTGTATCCAAAATTTGCTTGGACCAAAACCTGCTTATTTCCGTAAAAAAAATCTTGGTATCCAAACTATAGTGCGAAGAATTATTATGACAAGTTCTCAACGTTATCAAGCGAGACTTTCTAAAATAAGTTAGTATACAATCGGACACAAATCCGATTTTTGAAGTGATGCAAGTGTTTTGTAAAAGGAACAGTTCTAAAGCGCTAAAATATCACAAATTTATGCTAAAACATTATAAATAATTTCATTTTGTTAATCGAAAAATATAGGCAACTTTATAATAGTTTATTATGAGCGAAACACGCGAAGAAAAGTTTCGTCTCACCGCTTCATAGAAGTCAGGGATTGAAGTCCTCACAGCGTGAGTGTCAACCCAGCCGGGATGCATGGAGGAGAAGTGGACTTTGTCGAACATTTGCGCGTAGTTCAGTGTGAGAACCACCTGCATAAAAAACAGCAGATAAATGTAATTTCTTCATGGATCATCCGGAAAACAATAAAGCGAATTTGTTTATCATCTCGAAAAAATAATTTCATAAATTTAAAACTACTTTCCCAATAGTTTATTATGTGATACTTTTACCCAAATTAACCGCGACTTAACGTTTAGTAATTCTCTTTAGGCAGGAGGCACAAAATCTGGCATTTCTGCAACGTATAAACGAACAACTCTTACGTAATAGCAGTAAAATAAATCTAAGTAACTAGACAATATACCAGTAGATAAACAAGTGACTAGATTAACTAATGTCTCAAGAAGAGTATGAGAAAATGGAATAAGTGGCGACAGAGAAGAGACCTGCTGGCGCTTGGTCTGTGAGTAGGCGAGGCGGCCGTTGAAAGGGACCAGCTTCTCGAAGCTCAGGTCGTCGGGGTCCAGACGCACCAACAGCATGCCGCCCGACGAGACCGTCACAACGCGACTGTCTTCCGTCCTGACAAATTAGGGAGAAAAAAATATTTTGGGGACCCGACGATCAAAATTCGATGAATTTATGACTATAAATTTATACCCTGAGACGATAGAATAATTTTTGTATTCGTGTTTTTCGTGACTGCCAAATATTTTCACGGAAAAATTTCCTGGATAGGCGATCAAATTAATTACAAAAATTAAAAAATTGTACAACAGCTTCGCAATAAGAATAAGCAATATCGATCCCTTTTCATCTCGGGGAAGATAGTACGAGAATATATCAAAATATGGTTTAAATAAAATGAAAATTAGTAGGCAATTTTGCTGACAAAAATTATTCAAAGAATAAAAATACACTAAAATGAAACATTATTTCCATACACATGAGAATAAAAGAATTTAAAACGCATAAAAGACTAGAAGTTGCATGTGCACTCCGTCTTCTGCAGCGCAAGAAAAATAGGATGGTTTAAAAATATATTGTAAAACCGTAATACATGCCCGGCACATTAAGATGACTCACATGCCCAGCACATTAAGATGACTCACATGCCCGGCACATTAAGATGACTCACATGCCCGGCACATTAAGATGACTCACATGCCCGGCACATTAAGATGACTCACATGCCCGGCACAATAAGGTAACTCACATGCCCGGCACAAATGATTAATATGACTCACATGCCCGGCACAAATCAATAAGATGACTCACATGCCCGGCACAAAAGATTAATATGACTCAACTGCCCGGCACAAATGATTAAGATGACTCACGTCGTTGCCGGTCTCCGAGACGACGGTGGTACGCGCTTGCCGCGCGTCGTCCATGTTGCGGCACACAAGATGCAGCACAGCGCCCCTCTTGGCCAGCTCGTGTGCGGTGCATAAGCCCAAGCCTTTGTTGGCTCCTGAAAATAAAGTTTCAACTCAATTACTTCATTCCCTATTCTTCACAAAACTATTAAAATATTTACTAAATAGCATATCGGTAATTTGTTCAAGATCGGTTACCATTTGATGCGCGGAATTGAGCTATAAAAATTCGTTCCAAAAATTAGTCCCGAAAATGTAGGTGTACATCAACTGCTAGCAAACTGTTATTCTTAATCCCCCCAAAAAAATTTGTGTCGTCAGGATGGCTAATGTTCAAGCCATGTGAACATTAATGTACGTGGGAACCATAATAACATGAACATTCAATGCGGAGTAAAAAATCTATCCACTTATAAATTTCCCTGTCAAAATGAAAATACAAGAAAAGAGTGGGCAAAGGTATTTTTCTTCCATAAATAGAACATATTGTAAAATTCAGAAAAACACAAGTTCGCTACAGTCATGTATAGAAGCCTCCGACAAACATGTACGCTGACTTAACTAATATTTAAAAGAGGTAGCACGATATTGTATGCAAATTTCGACGCATAGAGAGCTGCCCGCGAGGCTGTGGTGGGCATTCCTGTTGGTCAGAACTAGCGGTAAACAAGCCAAGAGTAAACACCGGGGGCAGCATAGCTGCGTAAAATCTGCCCCCAGACTGCATAGGCTTGGCACGCCCAGATTTGACAACACACACAAAGTTTCAGACGCATCTCTTTGATGAGTAGGTACGTAATCATATACATTACAACCCTGATGACATCACAACGAAAGAAGTAAGAATACAGTGTACAATTTTATGAGAAAATAAAATAGGTACAAATAAAGTTTCTTTTCCCAAATCTATGAAAATAATCATCTACCTGACCGCTGTCAAATTAAGAGGCCATCAAAATAAGATTATTCCCCCGACCTGTTATCATGATATGGCGCCCAGTCAGGTCCACGTCCAAATCCCCTGGCACAAAACGGGCCTTGGCAGCTTCAAAACCATTTCTGGAGGCGACAAAGTTCAAGGCATGAGATCACTTGGATTTAAATTAGCAACCACAGAAATAAAACTAATTTATTTCTAGTCAATTTAGAGTTCTGTTTTAAAGCATCGATTAAAATTAAGTTGCAACAAATCTAATTAAAACTAAATTTGTTCCAATTATGAACAATATAATATCACCGTATTGCAAGAAACTTTTTTAGCCTCACTTCGTATACTCCCGGTTTCCTTTCGTGTAAAAGTAGGTGTTTCTGAACCAAGTTGATGACGTCATCTTCGAAATTGTGTGACTAACGGCTGACTTGGCAAATTAGTTAATTTTCACAGAGAATTTAAAGAAATAAATTGATTTTCGCTTCTGATTCAAAACCCAATCAAAATAGTGAAACTTATCTTCATAAAATTATATCTGTAAAAGAACCATATTATTTGTAATTGAAGTGAAAGAAATATCATTAACAATATCAATGGAAGATATACGTAGTTTCCAAGTCATCAAAATATCAATGTGTACATGTAAAATAAAATTTTGCATCTAATCAACAGCATAGCACATCCATGCTAATATTTTTGCTGACAAGTTTGTGAAAACAATATAAGTTGCTTAGATGTCCAGCTATGGGATCTATTACCGAATCCAATATCCGAAGTTTATTCAATCCACTAGAGGCCATCATGAATCTTCGAATATTTATCGAACTGAGCTTTCGGTTCCGTTTTACGGAACCGAGAATTGACTTGGCAAATTTCAGTCTCGCTTGTTAAGGCAATTCAATGCATCATCACTTCATCAGTCGTTCTCCACAACACATTATTGGATACATGGCCTGCAGTCCAGCTGCCTATTCCACGGTAGACAAGGCTCCAAGTAAATGTTTGAATTCTGACTGTTAGAAAATTAAAAAAAAATGATTACCATCCTGCCAGTTTGAGTCATGGGAAGACATTTTGTGGAATCAGCAGCCATGCTACAAACCATTTTAACAAGGCGTGTTACAATGGTGTAATGTAATCGAAGAACGATGCTAGGGTGGTAGTGTGCATCAGCAAGGAAACTAAGGCGAACGTGGGCTTTGTACCTCCTACTAAATCTATGTTCCGCTAAAAACTCGCTATCTCGTTATCAAAAACTCGCTATCTTAAACTACTAAGCTTACTCGAAATCTGCCTTTGTTTCTTCGAGAGAGATGTACACTTACGTATATCATGTGCTTAAATGGCGGCAGGATAATAGGCATGATCGGTCTCTTTGATCGTTGCACATGTAATTATTGAGAGAAAAGGCTCGTCCGCGGTTGCACGTTAGTTTCAATGTTACACACAAACAACGAAAATATAATATTGCTATCATTAGCACTTTGCAAGATCGGATTATATGTTGTCCGGAGAAATTGCACTTTCAACTGATCTCATTACTACCCGCCCACTAGGGAAATTTGTTCAGATAAAAAATTAATAAAAGATATAGTGATATGCTGAACGAAATTCCTTTTGTTATATAATGTACCGCTCCCAAAAACACAATACCAGCAATCGTTAGGCTTTATTTCTAAACGCTGACGCTCTGTATATGATTGTAAGCGCATTCATTCAAAAGTCGTCTGTAAAAAAGGCGACAGGTTGACACACAACGTCCTTTTTTGTAAGGTCATCTCGTATTCCACTTTAACTAATTATAAACGAAGCATTTCAAATAGGATGTAATGTAAGTAGCCCGGTCAAATTCGAACGCAAAAAAAAAAACTCGAGCACGAGAGATCGGTATAGGTGCACCACCAAATTTCAAGAGCACACCTTGACTCTGAACAAAGCGATGAGATGTACTCTGGTGCGAGTCTCCAAGCATGGGATAACATTTATCTTTTTATCGTATCAGATACGAGCAAAAGCTCCTCCCATGAGCTCAAAGTCTGTCCGACTCAACCGATTTCATCAACTGCCCACCAAGATTGGCATCTGCATGAATTAAATATTGGAACTCGAATGAATCTAATGCAATGCGTTTCCTTGCTTAGAGTGTTTCTGACCTACGAATTTTAGAATCATTATATATTTTCAAACAGAAGACCAGTTTAAATGCCGCATTCAGTTCCTATCTTCTATAAATTGTAAATAGATAGTACCTTCTCCACATGTTATCTCATTGTTATTTATTTTATCTTTGATTTTATTTCTAATGTCCTCAAGTTTAGGTGAATTGTTTGAATATGAACATTAGGCTACTAATTGTTTGTACCTGTCTTCTAGGTTTTGAACTGACGATGGAGCTGGACTCCGAAACGTTTTCTCTTATAAGAAATGGTGAACTTTTTGGCTATTTTCTTTATTTTTAAATTCTAAAAGACACCAGTAATAAGAATCTTTTCTATGAACGCCCTAGGCGCCGGGATTCAATAAACTCCACCGAAACTGCTTCTCGGAAGCTTCTCCGGAGCGACTCGCCAAATCGCCGTAAGCAATTCTCCATGCAGTCGGCCAAATGGAATAATGTATCACGGTAAGTCTGTTGAATATTTACTCATGTCATATCAAGAATCTGCTCCTCATAGGCTGAATACTTCAATACAATTTCGACTTAGAACATCAAAGGAACTTCCAAACTTCTTTCCCTCACCCGTCAGGCACTGGCGAAATTGATTTTTCGATTTTCAAAAGCTTATATATAACAGCCAATTATTACTTGGAATATAGAACCTGATAAATGGAAAGAATGTATATAAATTTTGTCCCAGCTCTTCCGGAGAAGTCTATCTTTATGGATTTATACTTTCAAATTTGAATTAAAAAAAGTTTTTCAAGTTCGGTTTCAATTTTAGCGCTTGTAATTAATCATTACTCTACATAAAATGTTACAAACAGTTCGTCGTCGAAAATAAGCCGGACTTGTACCCTATGCGTATTTCAATCGCGCTAAATTAGCGCAGGAATCTATTTTCATAGGAACGTATGTAAAGAAAGCCGATGTTTATTTATTGAAACCAAGAAGAACGGATCGAATGAAAGTTTTGCCGCTGCAGCCTTGCATAAGAACAGAAAAGGGCACGAGCTAATGACTCATAGTATTTACAAACAGAGCAGTCTATTTTTAACGATCAACCATCGCGATATTTAGTGGTTAGCTTTCGAACCGACTTGGACTGCATTGTGATTAAGAAGTTTTGAAACGCCTTTCAGCAAAAATTTCAATTCAAAACTATCCTTCCAAATCAAATCAAAGAAAAAATAATTAACAGCATCAAAAGTAGATAACTTCGACATTTTTTATATGATAGGATAAAAGTACACGACAGTAGGTATTTGTATGGGCTTCACTGTACGTTTCAGAAACAATGGGGGCTAAACCCACCAAAGATGGATGATCATACGAGTATTTCATTTTATGACTTGATGTATTTTTATTTATTTAAACTTATCTCCAGGCAACATTATATTGACTTTTTGAACCTTTTTTAATAATTATTTTAATAAATTACCGCAAACTTAGTGAAGGGAGCTGTCAGTTGGGCTTCAGCCCTAACTCAAGCGACTAACGTCTAAGCAGGAAACGTTCAACGTTGACGTATGTAGGTTTTTTCTTCATCAATGTTCATTATGGATGAAATATTAGTGAATTGGTTGTCCCAAATAATTATCCTTCAAATAGTGACAAGTCAACTCTCTTGAAGCTTGTGGACATGAAAACGCAACCAAGTCCTCTGCAGTTTATTCCTCTATCATTACGCACTATTTCTCTAGTAGAAAAGAAACCTTGATATACGCAACAGATTTATACCAAGCTTAAAATTAATTTTTTATTCAAGTAGTTGATAATGATACTTACCTAGTACAAAACTTTGCATAAACTTCAACAATACGAATTACATCAACAAAAATTAATGAGCATTGAACAGCTGCTGTGAGACTAGTGTGGGTTGTTCCAAGTGGACGACGCTTATTATTGTGATCAACATAAATTGTTCTTAAATACTTGAATATAAGCCTATACGGGCATAAAGAAACTGGTACTATGCAATAATATTGAAGGACTTGGTTGAAATACCCGTTTCTCAAATCTTGGTCAACGCTACCTAGCTAGGCTAGCCTTCAGGTTAAATCGGCATCAGGCCTCAATCGGAAAATATCCGCGACGCTACCATATTGGTCAATCGTGGACAAGGTCGGAATTTCGGAAATAATGAAACCTAACCTCAAATCCTGCCAGAGTTAGCTAGTCCATCCATGAAGCGAAAGTTTTGAAAGAACTTACGATATCTTCATCCCACCCCAGCAAAGGATGCATGCTGGGTTCGCGAAATCTGCTGGCCAAGCCAATGATTAAATCGAAAAGATGTTATGATGATCGATTCCTCAATTGTCTCCCACGTGGTGTAGTTGAAAAACACGCTTCGTGTATTGATGTAATAGTTGTATTACTCTTAAGATACTCCATCAATATGTATATATGAATGACATCGAAGTGACAGAACTGAATAGGTACATTTCCGGCTTTCTCGGACTTTAAATGGTTTTCGCAAGATTATCTACCTTAAACTTAAATAAAATTAGCTGGCACAAAACTTCACTTATTTCTTAACTGATACCAAATCATTCCAGCTAACCCATCTGTTTTTCAAATCTTCAGCAGGGATTCAGCACAGTACCACTCCTTACACCACCTGCCGACTAGCCGAGCGAGGTGAGACTGTCGAATATAGCTTGGGTTGCTCACTTTCACTGTCAAGAACCTAACCCAACGTCGCATCTCGCGACTTTCCCTTTTTTCCTCCCAAGTGAACACGATTTCAAATAAGTACTAGAGATCATAGAACCATGCTGCCATTGCTGTGGTAAAACACCGACTGCACTCTCGCACAGGTGTTTGTAGTAGAATAGCCTAGTTGATGAATGTTCCAAACCCGAGCGTACAAACTGAAGGTCGATTGCAGGTGCGTTTAGTTGAGTTCATCGCTAACAACGTGCGTTCACAAAGTTAAGACAGAAAGGAATGATCAAGGGAATCCTCCACCCATTTATCCTAAAAATTGTAATAGTGAAATAATTGGACCATATACAGCCAACGTAACGATGAGGTAACTTGTAAGTAACGAGATTACAAGAATCGGCAACAGGCCACTCTTCAGCATCGATATCACTATGTTATATATTGTATGAGAGCGAACGAGAACGAACTCGTGCACCCAGAGACGTGTGCACTCATATCCTTTTTTTCGTTTGTTGAACGGCTGCACGTACCATCAACACTAGCGAATAAGTTAAATATATTTGAACAGTTAATTCATTTATATGGTTGCCATTCTAAAGAACATTAATCATTTTCAAGCCTTTATTCACCGTGCCCGGGAGCAGTTTGTGGATATAAAATTATAAATCCTCGTGCGTTTACCAGCAGACCTAGTTAGCTATGAGCCCACAGTGTCACTGAGAGCTTGCCTCAGACGCTGAGTCGACAGCTTATACAGCATTTATGTCACGGGGACAAGAACTCGGCAAACGGAGGTACGAAGTCTATAAATGGGCGAACCTTAGTAACCCCCCAGAAGCTAACAACCCCCCTCCCCCAGAAGCTAACAAGCCCGCAGCGATGTAACTCGCGTTAGAGCTACTCCGACATAACAGTCGACGTCTTAGCCTGTAACTCTTTATAACTCTCGTGTATTGCCACCCTGTATCAAGATAAGTTCTCAAGACAGATGCTGTCTTACTTATCCCACGAATTTAGTCAATAAACCCTTCTCCAGGCAGGTGTCGCTTAATAATAGCGCGGGACAACCGCTATGCATAATTTGAAAAGGCAAAATTGTTGAGCAGTATTTTCAAAGTCGAAAACAAGTTTCAAATAAAATTCAATAGACAGTCAAATATTTCAGTCATTAATTTGAAGAGTCGGGGAAAAGAAGTCCGTTGTAGCCTATGATTCACTCCAAGGCTAGCAGACGAATTCGAATTTCTGATACAAATTGAGACATGTTCACTCCGGAGCATTTAAAACATTTTTATAGCTTTAAGAAACCCATATCTCCAAGAAACCGACGGGTTAGCATCACTCGGCTAGATTGATTTCGAATGCTTATGATACGCACAAGGCTACAGATCTTAGCTCTCATTTGAGTACCCCAAATTAGGAGTAAGAAATCATCGAAACAAATATAATGTATTTTTCTGTATTCTAAAAACGATGAGTATGGCAACACAGCCGCCAAGAGGAAATGTTATAATTAATAATAAAATTGCAATACGCAGAACTCACAATAAACGAAAAACTAAGGTACAAAACGGTCAATAATGCACACTCCTCCACGCCATCAACTCATTTAATGTGGAGATAATGCAGCAAATACGCTTTTTCCATCACAGTCCAAACGTAAGGAAATTCACCAGATATTTGTAAAATGCCACAGAAAACTTTCCCTTTGATTTCAACCTGCAACAACGAAAGATTACTCTCGTGGATACTCTAGAGTCTAGAGCAACCGTTTGCAATTGTACGCGGAAACGGTGATGTAATACAAAAATGATTCCAAACAATTATAAACACAGCAAACGGATCGGAATGCTAGTACCTACGTCAAGGCATGATTGAAGCAGAAATTCACAGCCACATCGATGAAGCCTTATGGAGAAATTATTAGTTCTCTTATAGAAGCACATGGCGGCATGAACCATAAAAAAACATGAATGTTTTCGGTGCCAAAATCGTGGATTCCTCAGTGTGCTTTTTTCATAATAAAGCATTGCATAAAAATTTTTTCCCGATATGGCGATGAAAAATTAATTATCAATTAATAGTTCAATTCACTTTTTAATAGGAAAGCACAACAGAAGTTGGTTTCCCCGGCAATGGAGACGCGATCGACGTAAAGAAATTTGTGGACGAGAGTTGAGCCAAAAATCATACCGTTGAAAAATTAACGCGAAAAAGTATCAAACAAGAATCGCCTTCAACATAAGTTTTTCTTTGTCATTCCAGGACATTTGACCCACATGATTAGTCGACGTAGAAACAAATAAGCTAAAACAAGAACTTCGATGAAAGCCTGGAGAGTTCTAATGCCTGCAGCACAATACCGTTTGACGATAGAAAAAATTCTTAAATTATTGAACTCGAGCAACAAGAGGTTAATTCACACGAATAAATGCCAGATACATAAACATTGATGTTTTTAAGTCGCCTCCGAAATATCTTACACATTCGAAATTCAAAGTCCATTAACTTTCTACACAAGCCAAAATCAACAACGATTACGAGAGAGCTTTAAATCAGTAACTATTTGACACTCTAGCTTCCAAAATTGAGTTTCAATACAACACGAGGATCTTACTAGTTAACAACTGAAATGGAACGTCAAAAAATACCGCACGCAGGCCTTGAGATCCTTATGACGTCATCCTATCTAGCAAAACAAACTTATTTTTGTCTCATGAGAGCAGTCTTGCGGCCAAAATCTCATCAGTCACTTGCTCAGCCCTGGCGCAGAAATGTTCAAGACTAATACACCATACGTTTTATCGTACCATCAGTTACTCGATAATTAAATACATCAAATCATGTTGCCATATATGATTTATTATGAAGATTGCTACTGTATTATTGACAGTTTGGTTCTATTTGGGCATTTGATTCAGGAAATATTTAAGGATTCTTTCGCTTTTTAAAATAATTTACTGGTCTGACTGGATTGGCTGTTTGTGGAGCTCGCACTTCCCACTTCCTAGATGCATTTCGTTCTAAGGAAAACTTAGATCGAAAGATTTAAGAGCAATTGAATTGATAGCACTTTATATATCGAAAAGTCGCATAACAACAATAATCCTGTCAACATTTACGAACCCACAATTCTATCAGTTATTAGTCTCAAAGTCATAATTCATTATTGTTTTACACAATAGTCATTATTAGCACTGTCACATTTGTCAACCCTACACTATAATTAGACAGGCATATTTAAACCTACGCCTGTTGATACACAGGTTTGGATCAACGAATGACACCAATAATTGCTACTCGAATTCTTCCCATAACATGAAGCACTATTAACATCTCAACAGCTGGAAGTTGCCCTGTTTCAACATTAGAATAGAAATAGACGAAATTTATACCCTTATATCATATTCATTAAAGAAAAAATTATTTACAAGCTTGCACAACAAAAAGGTTCTGATAACATTCACCGAAGGAGTTTAGTTACCATTAATTTATCAAAATCAATACTGGTATCAAAAAATAAATAGATAACAAAAATGACAGGTTAACCTCATGATAATAATTCACAAGAATTAATGGAACAAATTATTCACCTATCTTTAGAGCGTAAACTATTAACAAAAGCCATGATTTTGAGCGCGTGTCCGAGTTTGAGCTTGAGCTGCCTGACCAGATCTTCTTGAGTGATGAGCAGCAGAGCTTCACCGTCCACACCCTGGCTCATGAATCGCTCGCTCACGCCATCACAGCCAGGCAGACGCTCCAGCGCCGCGCTCACCTGACCAAACAAACACACAATTAACCAGGCCTATGTCACGGTGATCTGTACATGATGCAAGTATAAATAAAATACTTAAAAAAACTTTTTAAAAAACCAACACTTTTTTTTGTGGACTAAAAAGTAGAAATAAATTATGGTTCGCCCCAAAAAAACGTGGGTCGGGCTCTACATTCACCGTCAAATTTCCAAAATTTAAGTGTTGTATGCTTTTCGCTTTAATCATAAATCTGCTATACTATATATATACTATTTATATATACTTTACTCAATTAAGCTAATTTAGGTCTTTAATTGATAGTTTTTATGATTGAATCTGAAATTGTAAGGCGAAAATAGCCTGCAAGCCGAATTTCAGATCTCTAGAGCAATCAGAAGTGGGCTAATTTTCGTTGTCAATGTTAACAACAAACAAACAAACAAACAAACAAACAAACAAACAAACAAACAAACAAACAAACAAACAAACAAACAAACAAACAAACAAACAAACGCGAAGCTAAGCTAAGAAAAAACGTGTTAATAACAAGGGGCATTTAAGGGTCATTTAAATTCTCCACTGTCTGCCGGGCGTTCGACCGCGGCGTTCACCTGACCAACCTGACCTAACAGATCACACGGTTAGCCACCTAGATCATGGTGATCTTTACAGAGTCCTAGAATAAATTTTTCTATAAAAAGTAACTATTCATGAAGGGCAAATTTTAATTAAAAAACAGAATTCATATGGGATACCAATAAGAGATATATCGAAAACCGATTTCGAGAACGAATATGTGAATTTAGGTAAATATAACTTGCATAAAGAGAATTTTCGGATGACAAACGGCCACTAATTACTCTGAATTCCTAGCCCACATTCTTAAATCTAAGGCCGCTGTGTCGGTGTAATCAACCTACTACAGCACACGTAAAAAATAGTGTAAGAACACTAATATATATATATATATATATATAGAAGAAGCCCACACTCGTAACTCTCATGTTCTTGGGGGACATAAGAAAATGAGTAGATATGAAAGACATACCTCTTCTGGAGACCATTCTGTGACCGCGTCCCGGTCGACTTCTTTCAGAGGCTCGAGAAGATGTCTGACATGTCGCCAGTTGGGGGCGGGACGCTGACTTGACGGCAGCGTAAATCCACCGAAGAACACAGACTGATGAACTTCAACATCAGCGCTTTGTTCCTGGTCCTTGTTACAATTAACATCTGCACTTCCCGCTGTCGGGTTAACCGCCTCAGTAGAGTCAACAAACGGCTTCGAAATCTTAACTTTGTTTTCAGGAGCAGATATTTCATCAAAAAATCTTCTCCGTTTCCGTACACGCTTCTTAAGGCTATCCTCATCGTCTAGGTCTCCTGTGCCCAAGTCCAAGAGCACAGATTTGTGAGTTATTTTGCGGGATTTCTTTTCCGGTTTACTGAGTACGCGGTCAGGGATGAGGGACTCGAGATCTTTGTCATAATTCTGCACAGAATATGGGCATCCATAAGACGTGTGATGAGTGGTGTAAATAGGACCTTTGACGTGCCCGTAACCCTTGCATCCTAGAACCCCGCAGCCGTTGCTGTCTGCCTCTTCATCCACCATTGGCGGCTGTAAAGGATGCCCAGTCTTGCTGCACCAAGAAGGTGGGTGAAGATCCTCGCAGTGATCATCCACCCAATAATCGTACATGTCATCCCACCCATCAAAATGAATCTTTACCTGATAGTTGTAAACTTCGGCTACAGTGGCCACGCGTACCAACATTGGGTTCCTTTTATCAACCACTTCCAGTTTCATATCCTTCTTGAAGCTCCTCGGTGTTCGAGATATGAATGCCTTGGCAGGAACAGCAGACGAATTGGTTTCTCTCAAATACTCCGGCCAATTAAATGCTTCTGGATTAATGTAGTTCTGAGGAGCAGAAAGCTTCATGTCGTTTTCAGAGCACCATCCTACAGGATGAATATAAGGCGAACTCATCTGCGTCCAAAAGTCAAAAGTTGGGCCCCATCCGTCGAAATGGATAAGAACCCTGTCATCCAAAACGTCATGGATAGTAGCAACACATATCCATCCATTTTTGCGATCTTCCGCTTCCAATTTCATGCCGGGTCGAACAATACTCGCTTTGGTTGCACTCCTACAAGCTGGGTTAACGAAGGCCGTGCGCGGAGCAGGTGCACCGCCGCAATGTTCCAGGTAATTTTTCCAAGAAAATCTTAACGTGCCTCTAGGAGGACACAAGTCTCGTCCGTTTCGTTCACACCAGCCCACGGGGAACAAATTTGGAGAGTCAGCGTACGTCCAGAAATCATGCACATCGGAGAAACCATCGAAGTGAAGCTTGACTCTATGACCCATGACATCCACAACCGTGAGTACACAGAAGAGACTTTGGTGCTGTGGATCGATACCTTCAAGCTTCATGCCAGGTTGGAAAAGATTTTTAGTGCTAGGGAAAGGCTCAGGCCATATTCTAAGAGGAGCTGCTTTACCGTGTCCGTCAACTTTCTGACAATACTCGATGTAGCGCACCCATGAAAACTGCGATCGCTGGTCAAGCCATGGACACCGAGAGTTATGAATCTTAGCCAGGGCAGAGAAGTCAGGGAAATCTTTTGCACGATTTCTAAGACGGTTTTCCTTATCCTCTTTGCAGTCTCCGTCGGATGCAATGCGCCGTCGTTTGCGGTCACTTTCGTCGTCAGAATCAGATTCCTGTGAAAAATAAGCAACAGACTAGAAAAATTCAAATAGACAAAATTTTTGGTACAATAATAAGAACAATATATAGCTTACAATAAACAAGTTGGTTTGAAAAACGAAGTTTGTTCTAAAAACTATTCTAACACTCAACAGTTATAGACGTTCGAGGAAACAATTCATCGAATAGCTTTCAATAGTAAGTGAGTGTTTGCTGTTTAATGAGCTCACATTGACGTAATAACCAAGTGCTAACAAGTTCAATCAATACCTTTCATTAAAAAATTTTTCCAACCCAAAGAATGAAACATAATCAAATTGTTTTAGGAACTCTTCTCACGATTTGGTTGTCAGCCCTGCAGCAGTTAGGCGAGCAGTACCGCCCACCCCGCATGAACTCGTCGTGTAGGCCGTATCCTCCACACACACGACACACGCACACCCGCCTTTCTTCTGGCACCACCTCCGCCGTGATCGTGCACGAGTCACCACCAGAATCTTCCACAATCGCTACTTCGTCAGTACAGGAAGCTGGCGCGGATATTACACCTTTAACTCCAGGCGCCGTCGAATAACGTTTGTTTGTAATCTTCCTGGACTCCTGCTCATTATCAGTGCAGTTTGGAGGCGCAGAAACATCGTCTTTATCTGAACCAAACATATTCGGTACGGGTGATTCATTATTTTGCTTGGATTTGAGAGCGCGTTCTAAATTAAGAACTGTTGAGCCAAACCTAAAATTTCCGCTTGATGAACCAGAAACCATTTTCACAGAATCACTGTGAGTTTGGCTTTCAATTTCAAGAACATTAAACTCGTTGAGTTTGAACTTCAGTTTAGTGCCTTTCAGTTCAGCAACTTGGTTTTGCCTTTCCAGCGCTAATACTTCAGAGAACTTAATGTCTTCAAGTTTTTTAGGGCTCTCTTCGTCCGCATTCGAGAGCATATCAGGAATTTCTTCATCGCACTGCAAACAAAATTCATCATCTTCCACATCTGCTGCTGAATTTTCCGTTTTAGTAGAAGCATTGCTCGATGATTCGCCTCCTTCTTGTGCAGGCACTTCCTCTTTAGCGAGCAGAGGAACGTCTTTAACGTTTGCGGCTTCTTCCAGAACACTACCTTCCACTTTTGTCGTTCCACACGCATCCATTGAAGAATCAGGCTCGTCGTTGGTCAGGAATTTCGTGTCAATTTTATCAGTCAATATTTCAGCATCGATCACCGCTGTGTGCAAAGCTTTTTCTTGTGCATTGGAACAGGACTCGGAGGAACACACTGTACCATCATTGTCGTCTCGGACACACTCAATATCTGACTCATCATCGGTTGTTTCATCCGCAGAATTAGCCGCTGATGTCTCAGAGTTCTTATCGGCGGTTGCCGCGTAGCACGACCGGCTAACTAACTTCACATCCGGCACGCGAATGATGCCCGCCTTTGAACTGCAGAAAGAGAAACAAATTAATTTATTTATAGATTCAAGCGTCAGATAAAGGAATGGGAACTAAATACCTTTGTTAAAACGAAAAGTTTCATTCAAAAATTTTGAATTCAAGCTGTCGAGAGTTTGATAATTTTGACCAAGATTTATTTCCACAGTTGAATTCGACAGTCGAATTCTACTAATCAATGAAATTTTGAAATGTATGAAGTTATTTTCAGCTGGTTAGGCTTGAATGTATAAAACAAAAATCAAAATGTGAAAATATTATAACCAAATAAAATAAATTGTAAACCACTGTTTTCAAAAGATGTGTTTGTATAATGATATTAATTGCATCAACAAAATAAGTGCACTTCAGTAGTATACTAGCGAATCACAGAAGATTACCATAAAGTACTTCACAAACAAGGAGCAAAAAGGTATATATGACTTCCTTCCTAGTCGTCCCGTGACTTCCTTCCTAGTCATCTCGTGACTTCCCTCCTAGTCGTCTCGAGGCTACATGAAACTAAACGCGACGGCTCATTCATCTCACTTAATGCGAGTTGAATGGCTAATTATAAAAACGATAATACAAATGAACTTATTTACAGGATAACGGCATCGGAAGAACCACGAGTTTTGTGGTTAATATAAATAATTGTATTTCAGAAAATAGATTAAAAACTAGTTATATAACAAAAAGTTCATACCATATGGCGGCTTTTGAAGAACGGTCTCTCCCAAACTTGCCCTCTGCATTATTTTCTTCGCCAATAGCGCTCAATTTCTCCGAAAGCGAACAGGAAGCAGTTTCGATGCTGGCTGTAATTGTTGAACATGGATGGTCTTCTTCGGAAATTTCAGCAGTGCTTTTATCTGGACTAGGGGATAGAACTTCCGGGGAAGAACAACTACGAACCGAGCTGTCGGGTGATGGCTGGGCCACAGAAGTGCTGCTTTCAATGCCGGTGACGTCGGTGTCTTCTATAGTAACTGACGCGGATAAGCCGGCGCCTCCAGACCCGAATACAACTATCGAGGATTCTGCTAACGAGACACTGGAATCTTCTGTAGAATCACAAGACGGTCTGGCTAGGAAGGTAGAAATAGATGAAGCTGTGGGTCGTTCAGAGGATGTAGTTAATGATTTTGAATAACTTATTGTAGTCGAAGAAGAACCTCGTATGTTGGGGGAAGAGGAAGTAGATGAGATAGCGTTCGTGATGACATTAGAACAGGAGATTCTTTCAGATGAAGACGATTTTTTATTGACTGCAGCTGCAGAAGAACAAGCAGCCGCCGTTACCTTAATAGTGCCGCTTGAAGTTTTTTTGGTTAAACTCTGAAAAAAAAACACACAATTATTCAATACATTTTCAAATCTGACGATACACAATTTACATATTCAAAAAATCCAGCGGGAATCCATCATAATTATCCACAGTAAAAAATATATTTCAACAACCATAAAATTTTTGGTTAAGAGATGAATTTCCTCAGCAAAAGAACCATATCAGAAAAATTATTACCGGTTATTGTAATATCATTTGCCTTGACAATTTTCTGGCCTTATCGTCAAAAGAAAATCAAATAGGTACTATCAATTTCATGTCAAAGTTCAACTAGAGAAGGAAAAAACTTACAGGCAGTGCGGCGAGTGCCGTGTGAGATGTCAGCCTCAACCGAGGCACCGTGATGATGGGTCGCACTCCAATAGTAGAACTGGCTGCCCCTGTTCCCAAAAATGAATTCTATATAAAAAAACTTTTTCTGTAAAGATGAAGTTCTAATGTTTATATGTAGCTTTAGAACAAACAAAGTTTTTTTTTTATTGAGAGTTGATCGGAGCCAATTCAAGAAGAATATTTGCTCTGTGATGGCAGGCATTGACAAATGAACTCAACTTTTCATTCAGATCTTAAATGCCATATTGAAATTACAGGGAAGAATTTAATGAAATAATTGAATTCGCTGATGAATTCGAGTAACGGAAAAGAATAAGCAGGTTGTTCATGACAGATGAATTTTCTTGTCTTCAGGTGAATTCTCTATTTATTTTAAAGGAACAATTTATAGGTACCGTACTGTTTAACCCTGCAGTGGTCGCGTGCAAAAACTGGAGAGATTAGTAGCCTTTGTTTGGTTTCATTCAGGTCGAATTTCGTAGTTGTGGATTACAGTTTTAAAAGTACAAAAAGAATGAAATTAACACAAAATTAAGAAACATAAAAAAAGGAGAATTGTTATTTACCTTGAAGAGATGAAACTGATGGAGGTATCTTGGGAGTGTGCAAAATTATTGGAGTGCTGGGTAGGGTGCAATTGACATTCACAACGCGACCAGCAACAGCAAGAGCACCAGACGAGTTCACTGTCACGTCGTCAGCAGACAACCGTCGTGTTGTTGCACATTTTTCAACAGCAATACAATCATCAGATGCTTTGTCCTCGGTGAGATCAACAAGAACAGTTTCTTTTTTACGCAATGGAGGAGATGCGAGCCCAATTGGGACCACGGAAACTGTTGAAGCTCCAGGTATGACGGCCGTTACTGCTTTCAAATGAGCTTCACTTGGAGAAGAGACCGTTTTTTTACTAGGCATAACAGCCGTTATTTTACCATGACTCAATATGACACCATTCTGAATAGCAGGTTTCTGAAGTGGCACATGTGATGAAGCCCCAACTGCATTAGAAACAACTACTGCTGTTTTTTGTACGGAATTTGCCGCGATAATAGGTTTAAGGCAGTTTTTATTGCCCTGTTGGATAGTTAAAGCATTGGGAGATATTCTAGAGGGAGTCGACACTCTAACAACACCAGGACTTGGAGCAGGAAGAATACGGCGGTTAGTGGAGCAAGGCTCAGGTTTTGGTGCTGTAGTTATAGCCAACTTGTTGCCGATCTGTCCACTGGTGATCGTGATGGGAGAGACACCACTGGACACAGCAACAGTTAACCACTGAGAAACGTGGCCAGCAGGCATGGTGATTCTAGGGATGGCTGCTGCACCACCTCCTTTGGTCACAATAGGAGTCGTCATTTTAATGACTGGTGAAGCAATAGAGTTTGAAGGCCATGCCAGAGCAGCAGAAGGCAGAAGGGAGGCCACTTTGATGCCTGCACCAGCACTGCAAGACGCTGCAGCACTAATACCCGAACTCACAGCACCTGTAAGCAACATTTATATAATCTCTGTTAATGCTTGATACGAGATCTTCATGAAATATGAACTATCAAAAATTCAAAAAGTACCTAAAATTGTTTCCTACTTGGTCACATGAAAATGCTTGGTGGGTTTTAACATTGTATACCATATTTCTCCAATTTATAATTTGATTGTTTATTATTTGTTTATCAGCAATCTCTCAATCTCAGGTGTTGATTTGTATCAGCAATCTCTATTCCATGTCTAAAATTTTATTACAATTGGAAAGCACAGATAAATCCATCTTTCTGCATTGTAGCTACAAAAAAAAAATTTGCTGTGTGTGGCAAAATGTGTCAAATGAACCCAAAATAATTGTAGGTAATTATACACATAAAACTTCAAATTAGGACCTAGTGAATAGTAAAAATATCAAAGAATAATCTACATTCCGGGAGGAAGCATTATTCCCTGTAACTTTGTTCTATTGTAGTATGAAAATTAAAAAATACCATGGTTGGTGGCAGAAGAGTTGATAGAAGGATGAGCCATTTGACTTGGAATACCAACAGCAGGACTGAGACCAGGAGATGCTGGAACAAGGACATTAGTGCTGCCTCTCACAGTCACCTGCAAATTATGGGTTTTTATACAGGATGTCAGAAACAAACCATGAACATTCATCCAAAAATATCATAGGTACATCCATGCAATAATTGAAAAGAACAATGCAATAATACCTCATTGCGAAAAAAAATATGTTGCTCATTGGCTGAAGTTCAAATTGCATGAATGCAATATGAAAAACATTGCTAGAAGCCTTAAATGGTTAAATGGGTAAGATGTAAACCTAAATTGAACAGCGATCTTGAGAGACTTGATAGGAGAAAAAGAAATTTACACTCAGTATTTTGTTCCATCCAATTATTCCTAATACATAATTCCAACTGTGTTAATGCAGAAGCTTATTAAAGAAAAATTATGTACATCCATCACCAAGAACACAAAACCTCAATAGATACAAATTTAGTCAGGACTCAAAATATACCTTTAATTTTTTTCCCCTTAAATAAAAAAGTACTTCCCTAAAGTTTCTCAAGCAGCTGGCAACATAATTGAACTGACATAGGTATAGTAGAATATATAGGTATATACCATTTTATGATAGACATCAGAATAATGTCCTGATTGCATTCACTATAAGATCAAATACAACTGATTCATATTATTACTGTAGACATTTAGGCACCACATGAGGCAGAAACTCAAAATGTTGGAAATTATTCACATGTTTTTTTGCGTGCCATTATGTACATAGTTACTGTTCTGCATTATACTGTTAGGTACTTACAACTGACAAAATGGTAAAAGATTTAAAATTGTTATATCTTTCTTAGATTAAATGAAGTATAGTTTTCTTTGTGGCAGGGGCAACTATGCCACTATCATTAATGATACATAAAATAAAACAAGACCACACCTGCAAGGCTGCAAAGCTGTCTCAAATCAATTGCTTACCTTTTCAGGAGGAACTTGCAAGCACATCAGCTTTGGAATTGGTTTCTTCATCGGTGCTGGACCTGGAGTATTTAAAATCGGTTTTACCTGGTTTTCTTCCATGATATATCAAGTTTCTGTTGAGAAGACAGTATTTTATCAGTAAATAAAATATTTGAAAATTCAATTGGTATTCATAGATCATAGCAAAAAAATCTTTTGACATAGTTACACATATCACACCTCCAGTTCTTAGTTCAGCCATAGCAACAAGTATCATATGCAAGTGCTGAATGTTTCTTAGGCAAGGAATTAAATTTGAAAGAAATGACAAAGTAGGGAACTGAAAATAAAAATGTCTATGAATTTCACCATGCAAACAAATATGCAAGTATCCCACTGATTACAGTGAAAAATCTAAGTGGAATTCATATTTTTGGAACTCAAAGATTACCACTAGACTAAAGTGATAAATTAGGCAGAAGCCACCAGTGAATCGGACAAAAATGCCTATGAATCTGGTCTGGCCAATTTCAATTGTTCCTATGGCCTCTTCACAATTTTTTTAGTAAAAAATAAGAATATTTGCCTATTTTATGACCAATTTTATAAATAACCTGTGAAACAATCACTTTTACTAGAAATTTTAGGAAATTTCAGCAAATATTACAAATTGGCCACTAGATGATTTACCTCCTTCCTATTTGTTAAATCAAAACTTGTCACTAAAATATTCCTTCCTGTTTCAGGTACGTAAAATGGGGTTACTTTGACCGGCGGGCGGCGGGGTAACTTTGACCACTTTTCATTTTTTTTAACAAAAACCTTCAAAACTCAAAAACGATTTGACATAGAAAAATTTTGTCAATGGCCATCAAAGGCCTAATACTGAGGCTACGTAACTCAAAAGAAAGATTTAAAAAGTTTGCATATCTAATAGGTTTAAAAATTAATAATGTGACCCACGAAAAAGAGTTATTATTTAAAGCGTGTCGGAGTACCCCCTCCAATTTTTTTTATTTTTTTTAAGGTTTCCAGTATGTTGGATGGATCAGGATGCAGTGAAAACTGCCTGGAAATCAGTTGCAATGAGTTCCTGCCAAAAAAATGTAAACATCAAGTTTACAGGGTCGCCTGCCGAAGACCACCACTGCCCTGGATATAATGGACCATCATGATTCCTGCCTTCCGGAACGTAGCCTTCAACACTTCAAGCCGTCCGTATCTAGGCCATGGGTCGAACCAGCCCTTGGTTGAACGGCCACTTGTCGAAGGACAATAAATTTTGGAACAGAACTATGCTATCTGAAACCTAACCTCAGATGCGGTGAACGTAAAATTACGTAATTTAACGATGCCTGGAAGTCAGATTCAATTCGCGGCCTGGTGGTGCACGGCAGGTGGTAGTCAAGGCCGGAAGAGGACAAAGCCGAGTAGTGCACGGCTGATTGGTGTAGGTCCGGAGAGATCCAAGGCGTTCGATTCAGGGCTTATTGGTGCACAAAATTGGTGGTGCACGGCTGCGCTCCCAAGTTTACAATTACGTAGTTGTGGTCACATTAGAGCAGTCAGACTGCATCATCACATGCTCAGGTGACACTTGCTCAGTTGCTGTACAATCGGACTGTTTTTAGGGTAAAATTAGTTATTTGGGGTAACACGTGCATGCAATCTTGTAAATAAGTTCGTGTCTTGTCAATAGTTTTTCATTACTCAAAGTAAATGGATTTTCATTAAAAATTACCTGGCGACGCATCTTAAAATTACCTGGCAATGCTTAGGGCTTAAAAACCCATATATTGGCGATGCTGCATCCACCCTCTGCTCCCTGGGATCCATGGTCAAGATTCAGGAAGATGTGCCAGGTGCGCAGGAATTTATTTTGTCATTTTAACGACCTGCACGGTGCGCCGTACTATGCTGGTAAAAAAATGTGCCGTGCGCCATACTTTAGAAATCTAAAATAGTTCTACTATTTTAGTCGACAATATACGCAAGTATATTGACTACACGAGTCGAACTGACAATAATAAAATGTAAGACATGTCCGGGTTACTTCTGACTCTTCCGCTTGTCCGCCTTGTCGGATAAGGAACGTACGGTAATCGTAATCGTCATTGGCCGCGGCCGGGATTGCGCAAACACATGCGCAACAGCGCAACAGCGCAAGCCGCAATGAGAATCAATTTTCATTACATTGTGCCAACTGTGCACAGCAATAGCTTAAAAAAAGTGAAAATGCGCGGGAAAATTCACCGAAAACATACATCATCCTGACTCCTGAGTATGGCTGAGGCTGGGATTAAACTTGTGTAAAATTACAAACCATCGTGTAAGCTTACAAATACAGAAGAAATACTAGTACATCATAGTACATGGCTGCTGATATGATATGAAGCTTGCAGTGGACAAGGTCGTTGTCAATGCTCAATGGCATCATCATTGGCATGTCCATCAGCGCCTTCAGCGGCATCAGGCTGCTTTCAGGCATCAGATGATCAGTAATCAGTCCTTGGATACAGTAGTATCATATTAATAATACAGTAATAACAGTAATGTCTGGATATGGACATATGGTAGCCTAATATTATGTCAATGAAGAAAAAACCAGTAAAAATACATAAAATTTCATTTATTCTACATTTACATCATCTAGGCTACAAAGGAAGAGGACTTCAGAAGTTCAGAGTACCTACTGTTACGTGAACTTACGTCTGTTAGTAATAGATGAGTAGGTAACTAAGGTAAGGCAGGCCAGGCTGGGCCTGGTAGCTAAGCTACACTCTGCATGCTTCAAAATAGTTCAAATGTTTAAAATTTAGTTTTATTTCAAGTGCCCCTTTTTAGTTTATACCCCATTTCCAGATTAATTCAGGAGCCTTTTATATGGCGTCTAGCACCTTACAAATAGCATATGGAATTTTTTTGGAGATGCAATACAAATGATACAATAGAACTTGCAAGTTGCAATTTGCAAAGACCTATGCCATGGGCTTTAAAGTGAGCCCAAACTTGTTTATGAAATGTTTCGTCACTTTCATGGTAAAAAGTAGTACCGTAGGTATTAACAAAAAGGCTTAAAACCGTCCCTTTTTACCCTGTTTGACTCTTTGACAGTACTTTGAACAAATGAAGTCACAAAATACTTGGCAAAAAAAATATTTCTATGTAGTCTTTTTTACTAATCGGCAATCGCAACATCCGTAGTTCATGGCTCTTTTGCATATGTAACTAGAAGAGTTCTACTACAATGCACCACAACCTGGAGTTATTTGGAGTTATTTTACCAAAAAATAAAATTGATTTTACCAACCAGTCAAAGAAACTCCAAGAGCTGGGGTAACAAAGACCATCACTTTTTTGAAATTACATCAAAACTATGAAAGGCAAGCCAGCAATTTATGGTGAGTAAAGCTAGAGTATAGACCTGTATTTTGCATGTTTCAATTTAAGTTTAACTTATCTAGTAACGAAAAGGCATTGTTTTGAAATAAAAAAGCGGTCAAAGTTACCCTATTTTACGGTATGTTTTTTACAATCTTTTTTGATATAGTGAAATCACTTGACAAGTTGACATGATTAAACCCACTGCGCAGAGAGTGGATGAATATTGCAAGTTCTTTGGCGACGCTTCAGTAGCAAAATTTACGCCTTCAGAAGATTTTGCTGACACATCTAGATTGAAATTCTATTATTTAATATATTTTTCAGTCTTTGGCCAACTATTTAGAAAAAAAGTAAGGTTTCCAGTATGTTGGATGGATCAGGATGCAGTGAAAACTGCCTGGAAATCAGTTGCAATGAGTTCCTGCCAAAAAAATGTAAACATCAAGCTTACGATTACGTAGTTGCAGTCACATTAGAGCGGTCAGACTGCATTAATCACATGTTCAGTTGACACTTGCTGTACAATCGGACTGTTTTTAGGGTAAAATTAGTTATTTTGGGTAACACATGCTGACGTGCATGCAACGGCGCAACCTTGTAAATAAGTTCGTGTCTTGTCAATAGTTTTTCATTACTCAAAGTAAATGGCTTTTCATTAAAAATTACCTGGCGACGCATCTTAAAATTACCTTCCAATGCTTAGGGCTTAAAAACCCATATATTGGCAACACTGCATCCACCCTCTGCTCCCTGGGATCCATGGTCAGGATTCAGGAAGATGTGCCAGGTGCGCAGGAATTTATTGTCATTTTAACGACCTGCACGGTGCGCCGTACGGCGTACTATGCTGGTAAAAAAATGCGCCGTGCGCCATACTTTAGAAAGCTAAAATAGTTCTACTATTTTAGTCGACAATATACGCTGCAACAGCGCAAGCCGCAATGAGAATCAATTTTCATTACATTGTGCCAACTGTGCACAGCAATAGCTTAAAAAAAGTGAAAATGCGCGGGAAAATTCACCGAAAACATACATCATCCTGACTCCTGAGTATGGCTGAGGCTGGGATTAAACTTGTGTAAAATTACAAACCATCGTGTAAGCTTACAAATACAGAAGAAATACTAGTACATCATAGTACATGGCTGCTGATATGATATGAAGCTTGCAGTGGACAAGGTCGTTGTCAATGCTCAATGGCATCATCATTGGCATGTCCATCAGCGCCTTCAGCGGCATCAGGCTGCTTTCAGGCATCAGATGATCAGTAATCAGTCCTTGGATACAGTAGTATCATATTAATAATACAGTAATAACAGTAATGTCTGGATATGGACATATGGTAGCCTAATATTATGTCAATGAAGAAAAAACCAGTAAAAATACATAAAATTTCATTTATTCTACATTTACATCATCTAGGCTACAAAGGAAGAGGACTTCAGAAGTTCAGAGTACCTACTGTTACGTGAACTTACGTCTGTTAGTAATAGATGAGTAGGTAACTAAGGTAAGGCAGGCCAGGCTGGGCCTGGTAGCTAAGCTACACTCTGCATGCTTCAAAATAGTTCAAATGTTTAAAATTTAGTTTTATTTCAAGTGCCCCTTTTTAGTTTATACCCCATTTCCAGATTAATTCAGGAGCCTTTTATATGGCGTCTAGCACCTTACAAATAGCATATGGAATTTTTTTGGAGATGCAATACAAATGATACAATAGAACTTGCAAGTTGCAATTTGCAAAGACCTATGCCATGGGCTTTAAAGTGAGCCCAAACTTGTTTATGAAATGTTTCGTCACTTTCATGGTAAAAAGTAGTACCGTAGGTATTAACAAAAAGGCTTAAAACCGTCCCTTTTTACCCTGTTTGACTCTTTGACAGTACTTTGAACAAATGAAGTCACAAAATACTTGGCAAAAAAAATATTTCTATGTAGTCTTTTTTACTAATCGGCAATCGCAACATCCGTAGTTCATGGCTTCATACCTACTGGCATACATTCGAATGATTCGATCCATATAATCAAAAAACAATCACAATCGTTCCAAAAGTCCAAACTTCCACGTAAGATTCAAACCCAAAGGTAATGATGGCTGAAACTTCATGCGTTGGGTTTTGAAGGAACTTTACGGGAGCGCCGTGGTAGGCCACAAATTTTACTCTTAATTAAATAAGCGCTCTAGTCAATGCCCACTCTCACCAAGCTTCTTCTTCTCGGGGTGTCCACGCAGGGTAGACTTAAAGCCACAGGACAACCGCAAGGATGACCGTTGGGCCTGAGAGCTTGTGTAGACTCTCACCATGCAGTCTAACATTACTGTAAGTGATTATTACTCAGTTACAGAACTAGAAGCTGTAGGCAGCGCTGGAACACCGTAATCCAGACCAGTGACACAATGCTCAAGGCTCCTTTTTTTTACAGGGCGGCAAAGGCAATTACCGCCAGCGTCCGACGGTATTTACCGTCGAACCTCCGCGGACATTGAAAATGTGCACTGCTATCGCGAACGAAACGATGACGTCACGGCACCCAATCGCGAGATGCATTGTGTGATCGGCAGCCATATTTGTTGCATGGTCTAGCTTTCGCCAACGTGTCCAATCTACTGCGCTCACTGAGCTATCAAAAGACGCGCCATTATGGCAGGATAAAAAACGAGTGTTCCATGGCATACGGTTTGTAGAAAGAAATTACATGTATAAGTAAAAAAATTTACAAGAAAAAAAAGTACGCTATCTACATGAAATGTTATTATATGACCCAAGATAAATTAACAAAATTAAACAGGATAATCAGTAATTCAATAAATCAAACAAAAATCTAGAATAGTTAGGTTCTCTGGTAGTGCAGGCATCCGTATCCATGGTTGAACTAATAGAAGGCTGAACCACAGCGATGACGATTTTTCGCCGTTGTGTGCATCTCTAGAGTGACGTCACTGTGGGCACAAAATGTAAATAGTGTAGATCAACACATTGTTTTCATGTCAACTTTGAAAGCATTTAAAAATTATTGGCCTCATCAAAATGGCCCAAAAAATTTATTTACTGCATGCAACCAGTCTTGTTTTAAGCAAAACAGGTGTTACAAATCCATGGTTAAACGAACACAAGGTTGATCCACGGCTATGACGATTTTTCGCCGTTCTGCGCATCTCTAGAGTGACGTCACTGTGGGCAGAAAATGTAAATGGTGTAGATTAACACATCGTTTTTACTTCATCTTTGAAAGCATTTATAAACGTTTACCTCATCACAATGATCAAAAAAATATTTACGGCAAGCAAATAATCATATTTTAAGCAAAACCAGTGTTACAAATAAGTTTAACGTCACAAGAGCCGTGACGTCACAGTTGGAATAACAAATGACATCCGCAAGGCGCAGCTGCATGTGGGGAAAACCTTGTATTAGTTCAACTCTGAAGAAATTTGCCTCATTTAAATGGCCCAAAAAATTTTTATTTACTGCAACTAGTCTTATTTTAAGCAAAACAGGTGTTAGAAGTCAGTTTTTTCAATAGCAGTGTGACGTCACAAGGTGATGTCACAACGACCAAGGTGACATCACGGGTGGAATAACAAATGACATCCGCAAGGCGCAGCTGCGCGTGGGCCAACCTTGTATTAGTTCAACCATGTTACAAATTGGTTTGAATAACACCGTGACGTCACAAGGTGACGTCACAACGACCAAGGCGATTTCACGGGTGGAATAACAAATGACATCCGCAAGGCCCAGCTGCGAGTGGGTCAACCTTGTATTAGTTCAACCGTGTCCGTATCTAGGTCTAACAATGAATGCTGTGAGGCTTGTGAAATTACGTCTGACAAATTTAGGGCCGGTCTCCTCAAATTCAGCGAACAAGGAATATTTCCCAAAGTAATGAACGTAGCGTGATGAAGCTTGTTACACGTATTCAATAGAACCTAAAGGTGATGTTAAGCTCGTGAAGATTTTTGAAATTTCACCTGCATTCGTGAGTCATATGGCAATACGTGCCGAAATTTTCAGTGAGCAAGACATTTATTCTAAATTACTGTACAAATTTGTTTAGCTCGCGACAATTTTTCCGATTTTGCCTTCGTTTGCGAGTTATACGGCTTTACGTATACGGCTCTTGGTCAATGCAAGTTTAAAAATCGGCCTGAGTAATGCCAGTGTTTCTCCTTATATCCGTATAACTTGCGAAGTTAGTTTACGAAGTTTGTTTACGAAGTTCCAATTCGTTACGAATATACGAAGTTTCGTTTTATTATTCAAGATGAAATATCCTGCTCACTGCGATTTTCGACACGTATTGCTGTTTAAGTCACGAATGAGGGAAAAATGAAAAAAAAACTCGCAAAGAAGTTAAAATATTAATAATTGTCATGAGCTCAACATCAACGTTGTATATTCAACGTTTCGTTCAAATCTGTACAGTAGTTCAGAAGAAATGTCTTGCTCACTGAGAATTTCCGCACGTATCGCCCTATAACACACGAATGAAGGCGAAATTTAAAAAATCTTCGCGAGCTAAACATCACCGTATGGTCCTAGTGAATACGTGTACCAAGTTTCATCGAGCTATGATCATTATTTTGAGAGATATTCCTTGTTCACTGAATTTGGAGATTTGCCGCGAGACCGGCCGTAAATTCGTCCGAGACTTCTGGAAACGTAACCTAACCCCTGGCAGATGCTGTGCGCTAAAAGTAATGTAATTAAACGAAGCTGCGTAAGTCACTCGTCGAAGGACGATAGATTTTGTAACAGAAACTATGTTATCTGAAACCTGACGGGGCGCATGCCGGAGGCCAGCTTTGCCAAACTCACACTTAGTTCATATTCCTTTCAAAAGGTAAGAACGCTGGAGTACATAACGGCCTATGAATTCAAGTGCCCAAAGCCATAGCGCCGGATGTCCACAGCCACAAAATAAGCTTGCCAAAGGTAAATGTTGTGGAATAAAGAATACTTGGCAATCCAAACTTTATTCAAAAAAATATCCGGTTACCTGAAATACGAGTAACTGACATTAAATACTAAACATACCACAAATATAACAACTACAAACAATTATTCGGCGGATTGAAAGTCAGCGATATACGTGGTAGAGAACTTACATTAAATAACGGCGGTAGTTAGAACGTGTCAGCTCGACGGGTACATTGAGACTGATACGGTATTGAAGCCAGACCATCCAACAGCAGATTGTCATCTTATTATGAACTTTATTCATATATAAATCAGGACTATATAACAACAGTAAACATGGCCATACGGCATCTGGCCAAACCTCCTCTGGTCTAACCTCTTCAGGCCTTACCTACACGAGCTACAACCTTTCTCCATCCAAAACAAACCTGAGCGGACCTTATAATCTAAACTCATTGGCTGCAAGAAGTTAGAAAGGCGGTCCAAGTGTGCTGGTAGAGCCAGTCATTAGCTGCATGAAGGTTGTGAGCCGGGGCAGCGTGAATAGGTTAGGTCAGAAGAGGTTAGGCCGGAGTAGGTACAGCAGGATGGGGAACTGCCTGCTATAAGCTAGTATGCTTAAGTGTGACGTCGTTCGTCACTCGTCAGATTCAACGCACTAAGTTCTCCTATCCTCATCTATTCTGCCTTCAAATTTTCACTCATCCCTGCGTTCACTCCACAAGTGCGTGGAAAATATCGCAAAGATCGACGAAATTACCACCATGTGAACGCAACGAGCCACCCAAGCGGTTCCCGCGTTCTCAGCTAGCGCGGCGTCGTCAGCGCTGTACCAGTGCGCGTCTAGACTCTAGAGCTCTAGCGAGTAGTGTCAGTGAGCCTAGTGTGTTGCACCACGAGCCCTCCCGGTGTTACCTTATTTTATGATATTATAGCTTATTAAGCCTATAGTACCCATGTATTCCTCTATCGTCTTTACTGTGTATGATTCCAGAATTCGTGTTTCCAAATTCATGTTATTAAGTGCATATTAAAGTTGTCACTGTAAGTAACGCTGTGTCTAGACATTTTTGGCGGCCATTATAACGAACATTTGCTAATGGGCTCCTACATCATAGTTGATATATATTTTCTAGTATGAATTCGTCTAGGAGTAATTATTTTGAAAGAATTATTTGCTGCATACTTAGACGTACCGATTTGATATTTTTTATGCCATTTGCCTCACCTTTGCCGTTATAATTATTCGAATGTTAGGTAGCCATGTAAGAGAGATGCCGTTCCGTTTTCTTCGACTCAGTCTTGAAGAAAATTTTCGCGGGAGACTACTTTGTTCCCCGCGTCG